TTCATATTTGTCAAGTTCAAAATAGTTTCATATAAAATATATAAGCATATAGCATATATGAAAACAAATAACAGGTGAGGCCAAACTAACCTCATTTCCTTTTTCTGACATAATCATTCAACTAATAAATGAGGGAAATGCTATGGAAAAGTTTTAATAAAGTATCTCACACTATGCCTGTAGGAAAGACGGAGATATATGGAAGAAACAGTAAATACAATTAGATTGATAGTTCAAGGTCATTATAGCAAGAGGTGTCCAGTAGAGCATCCCAGGTATCTGCGCTTGCCCCCATGTGCTATTTAACACTTACATCAATGACTCAGGTAAAGATCTAGAAAGCATTCTCATCAAACGTGTAGATGATGCCATGCTAGGAGAAGAGCTAAAACAATGGATGGCAGTCAAAATCTGAAGAGATCTTGACAGGCAATAGATATAAATGTCAAGTTTTATACTTGGGTACCAAAAACTCAGCCTTACAAGACGGTGGAATAATGGTTAGACAACAGTCCTTCTGAAAAAAATCTGGAGTTTTAGATGAATTGCAAGCTCAGTATGAATTAGTTGTGTGATGTGGCCCCAGAAAAGTTAATATGTCCTTGAACTGCATTAAAAGAGGCGTTGTTTCCAGGAGTAGACAATCCCACAGTATTCTGCCATCATCAGATCTCATCTTAAGCGCGTTCAGTTCTAGGAACTATAAAATGGCACTGATAAGCTGGAGTATCCAGAAGAGGGCAACCAGGATGGTAAAAGGCTCTGAGTACCTGTCACGTCATGTCATGTCATGTAAGAACTGGTTGAAGGAAATGAAAATCTTTAGGTCAGAGAAAAGAAGTCTTGCGGGGGGGGGGGGCAGTGAGAGAAGGTTGTTAGGGATTTTTAAGTAATTAAAGGGCTGTTATATGGAAGAGGAATTAGACCTTTCTGTTAGATCCCAGAAGGATAGGACCAAAAACAAAGGGTGAAAATTTCAAAGAGGCAAATTTAAGCCTGAAGGCAGGAAAATCTTCCTAATAATTAGAGCTGTCCAAAAGGGTAATGGACTGCCCTGAGTGGTAGTGGGTTCCTGCTCCTTGGAAGTATTTAAGCAGAAGCTCACTGACCATTTGTCTTGGATGTTATAGTGGGAATTCTTTTAATGTATACTTTGGACTAGATGACTGCTGAGGTCACTTCCAACTAGAAAATTCTGAGAATCTGTGAAGATTCAGAATAGTCTTTAACTGGAAGAAAAAAAAGGAAATAAGTAAAGGAAAGGAAATAAGAGCAAGGAAATGGGCACAGATGAAGGAGACTGACTGAAAATATCTATATTACTTTGTAATATTCCTTTGTTATTTGTTTTCATACTCTGTGGGATAGCCTACCTCCCTACACTAATTTGTAATAAACCCTTTTAAAAAACCTAAGAGTAATTTCCTATTTGGAGGAGCAGGAGTATGGGAAATGAGCCTACAATCTCTCTTACAATCCAGTAAGAGAACCAGAAAAGCCAGTACAAAAGGGGAGTTTGGGAACAGATAGATAAAGTGAATCAACAGGCCAAGTGGAGTCACATATAAGGAGTGGAAGAGGTCCTCAAACAAAAACAATGACCACATCTACTTTACAGCTACTCCATTCTCAAAAAGCATGAGTGGGAGTCTGAATTAACCAAAGACCATTTAACTACAGCGCATTTTATGCAAGACCCATTTATGGATGCAATCAATATGTAGAAATTGGTAAAAATCCAACCATCTATGCACAGAAATGCCTATTTTGAAATTGTTTTTAAATACAGTAGGACATCAGGCATAGTAGGAGTGTGTAAAATAGACTAAATTTGGAGTCTCATGTCCTAGGTTCAAATACCAACTCTGCTACTTATTTTCTTCATGACTTCACACTTGTCACTCTACCACTTTGGTCTTCAGATTCCTTATCTGAGCTGGACTAGACAACTTCTAACGACTCTTCCAGCTCTAAATACTCCAAGACCATCATGATACCAGCATAGTTTTCTTGGGTCAGGAATGCAGAATGCTGAGATGCAAATAATAATGTCCTAGAACAAACTCAGATGGAAAACATACAACTGGTTATCCCAGAGTCTTATGTCCTATGAGTGCCTTTGCACCTAGCAGGCTCTCAGTAAATGGTTCTCAGACTGAAGTGTATTAATGGTGCCACCATCTAAGGAATCTATATTTATGAACTCACAGAAACCAACAGGATAGGGAAGAGAACTCGGGTGACCCAGTTACTACAGGGAAGCTTATTTAAACAGGATTGTAGGATCCTGGATTTAGAGCTGGAATGGACCCTGGAGATCTCCTAGTCAAGCTTCCAAATTTAACATTCTTACTATCATGGGGACTTCTTTAGGATCCTCAGTGGGATAGTGCAATTGTGAAATACAAACCAAACTCCTTAACTGCTTCTCCAAAGAATCCAACAATTCTCTCTCCCCTAACTTCTTCCTTCCTCTCCCTTTAGATCTCTGGAGCCAGTCCATTTTAGAAAACAGATCCCCTGTGGCAGCTGTAGGCTAAAACTAATCACCCAGGACTTTCTGTGTCCAAAATGGCACTCCAGTGTACTCCTATGGGTCTCTTGGAATGCCTCCAGGCTGTAAAGATGATGTACACAATTTCTCTGGGGCAAGACTGCATTACCCTTTGGTGATTATGAGGCACAGAGCAGGCATTAGGTAAAGTAGGACCTTGCATATAATGAAATTTGAAAGACAATGAAAACAACTCTCTCCAATGAATAAGCAACTACCCTTCCCCCCTCTCCTAACCATCCAAAGATGTGGCCTTCCAGATTATAAGGGTAATAATAGAGAGTCTAAAGGCAAGCAGAAGAGGGAGATTATTATTAATAGTAATAATAATAATAATAATAACAGCTAACTATATTATAAAGGTTTGTAAAGTACTTTACCTACATTCTGCCATCTGATCCCCACAACAACCCTGTAAGACAAGTATTACAGGTGTTATTATCCCCACTTTACAGATGAAGAGTCTGAGGCATAGAGAAGATGACTTACCCTTGGTCACACAGGTAATACACAGTAGAAATAGGATTGAAACCCTGATCTTTCCAAATCCAGTTCTAACAACGTAACCCAACAGAAAGGGGGGGGAAGAGAAAAGTCAAAAAGAAAAAGACTGGTGTGTATTTGCCATATTATACACCCATATATAAAATTTAAATGCTGATAAGACCATACATAAAGCTTTTCTTCATTAATTTTTCCTAACACTGAGGAGAGGGAAGGTTTTATCAAAAACACGTAGCCTACTTCATCATTTTGTTTAAGGCTGGCTCCAAGGAGCCTATGACTACCTTAACTAAATTAAACAATGAACCCATTATAGCGTGTCTGTGAGACATCTGGTTTGCAAAACTTTACATGGCCTTAATTGGTCCTCTCTACTTGGGTAGGATCCATCTGGCTATCCTAAATAAATTGGTCTGTCTGTAAAGAGGTTCAATACATGGGCCAAGCTATACCCAGAGACATGGGTATACCAGTGTTACCACTCACAATGTTTTATACTAGAATAGTCTTAGTTCAATTTCAGAAATTCAAATGTTGGTGCAGTAAAAATAATAATAATACTCATTTATACAGTACTTTTAAGGTTTACAGAGCTCTTATTTATTCCAAAGTGCAGTTGCCATCCTAAATGTTACCAAGTTTGTAACTAAACACGGCCCAACTTAATTAACACTAATAGCTGTGTAACCTTTAAAACCCTAACAAATATTTCCTCCATTAACTGGTGCCAAAATTCTCATCATCATCATCATGGCCATTTATGTAGCACTTTAAGATTTACAAAGCACTTTCTTCACTATGGGGTTGTGAAACTCTTACCACTTCTACTTTACAAGTCAGGAAAATGTCAGTTTCAGAGACTGGCCCACAGTAAGGAAGCTAGAAAATAGCATTAGAATCTGGATTCAAATCCAGTTCTCTTCAATCCAAAGTGAATTTTCTTTCCATTACACTAATCATGTTTTGATCGCTACAAAATCATGTAAGAAAGACCATGTCAAAGAACCACAGAAACCAAATGGTTATGAGGAGACACAAAGGGAATAGTTAATAATAGGGTTGCCCACCAAACATGACTTATAGGCAGGGTTGACTGCTTTTCAGGTTTCTTATGTCTTTCCATCAGAGGAAGAGAGAGGAGTTTCCTTCATAGCTGGTGAATTTGTGTCTCCATTATCTCATGAGCAGAAAAACAATCACCACCCCAAAAGCACATTCCACTTTCCAGCTGCTTTTACTGGGCACAGTAGTCAGCAGTCCTGGAGGGGATGGGTAGAAAGATAACATGTTTCACCGTACTGTGTCAGTATATATCTGTATCCTGTACTTTTCTGCTATCACTCAACTGCTCATGTAACACGTTCCCATCCCCCTACCCCCACCCCACTACCAGCTCCTACTCCTCCCTCCTTCTCCAGCAGTCCAAACTTGAAATTTCATGTGGGCTGTTGTAAAGGATAGTCCAGCCTTTGTGCTGCAGCAAAGATAGTAAGCTAAAATAGCTCTCTACTCCATCCTCATCCTCCACCCCCGCCCAAACACACGGAAACACGCGCGCGCGCACACACACACACACACGGAGGAGACATTTCCAAAATAACGCTGCATTCAAAGATCCGCTTTCTAATGCTGAGACCACAAACAAAGGAGCCAAATCTAGGCGGAGGCGGCGGGAGAAAGGGGGCCTGAATGGAGGAAAAGAAAAGGAGGCGACAGCTAAATGCTCGTAACTGAAACTAGCCGCAGATGCAAGGGCAGAAACGCCACTGGTGTGTGCACTACTCTGCCTCCTACCAATTATGCAGCTCTGATCCGGGTCCCCAGCCACAGCTGCTACAGTCGCAGTCGCTCGCCTCCTCCTTCTCCTCCTCCTCCTCCTCCGCCGCGGCTGCTACACTGATTCCCAAGAGCCAAGCACACGTCTACAGAGCAGCATCCCTACCCTTTGGTCCTCCCGGAGCCCCCAATAGACGCTCTCTCGCAATCCAGCCACCAGTAACATCTCAGAAGTAGCCCTTACTGAAGCCCAGCCGCTGAAATCACAGCGGATACGGCAACATTGAAAAAGCAACAGGCTCCCAACCCCCCCTTCTCCCCCTCCCCCTCAAAACAGCCCGGCGCATACAAACACACACACGCACGCACCCGTCTTCATTTCCCCTCTTGCATGACCAGGCCTGGTATTATTCCTTCCTCCCCCTCCCCCCCAAAAAAGCAACATTACTAACAACCCTCCATCTAGGGAGGAAAAATTAAAAAAAGAACTTTTGCACCATGTTTAAGAGAGGGGGAAGACTGCGAGAAGGGATGGAATCGGCCAAAGGAAACTTCCAAACCTTGTGCTTTCAAAGAGACAAGGGAGAAGCGGTTTGTTTTTTGTTTGGGTTTTTTTTTTTTTTTTTTGGTAAAGAAAGCCGCCGGAGCTTTTTAGGGCTGGTTCCAACGCACCCCGTATTCCCACCCCGCACTTGCGCGCAAACAAAACACGCGGAATCACGAGATCCCGATGGAACATTCCCGGGGAATTGAGCGAGGGCTGGGCGGGGAAAGGGGGAGCATTCCTCACTCCCCCCCCTCACCCCACCGCGCCTCCACCGCCCCTTAGGACAGTTTCCAAGCTCCAACTCCTTACCCAGCTCGTTCCTGCAGCCCTCCCCAGCTAGGTGGGATTTGCCTCGGGCGGGGACTAAGAGAGGAAAGGAGGCGGGGGGGGGGGGAGCCGCGGGAAGTGGGGAGGGGGTCCTTTAGTGGCTCTGGTTTTCTCGCCGGGCAACCGCTCTCTTCTGAAGTAACGGCCCAGAGAACAGCTACAGGATAAACACACACACACACACACACACACTCACACTCACATACACTACCATGAAACTTAATCCTCCTCAGCCATCCAGCGGCCAGACGCCAGTCTTCTCGGCCGCAACCCCCTCCCTCCCCCCGCCTCTACTTAGAGACGCTCCTGCGCCAAGCCTGGCAGCAGCCGCAGTTAGAAGAGAGGGGGCTGTGAGAGGCAACCATGACAACTCCGCTCAGCCCCGCAGCCTTCCCGGTGCTGGTGACCCCCAGCCAGCCCTAACCCACGCTAGCTTTTCTCTTGGCTTGGCACATTTCTCAGCCTCGGGGCAGAACTGGACTTTAAAATAAAGGGTCCAGACTAGACAGGCTCCTTTCTTGAGCAGACTTGAAGTCTGTGGGGGTGTTTAGTTTAAGTACAAAGCAGTGGATGAGAAATACTTGGGTGATCCTGTTGAGAATGGATTGGCCACTGTCCCTTTAAGGAGAGAGGACTTAGCTCTTTACTGTGAGCAACTGAGGCCAAGGAAGGTTTCCAATTTGAAAAGAAGCTCTCTGGGTGAACGGGTCATAGTTGGGCCCAGCCAGGGCTAAAAAGAAAATGGAGACTTTCTGCTGTTTTGGCTACTCGGATAAAAGCTAGTCCGTGATGACTCACAGTGAAGGAGATTAAGTGTACCATTTTAGGAGTTATCTTTCTGTAACACTGAATCCGAGAGGCCAAGAATTCTTCCAAAGAAGAAAACATTGTGTCCTGGTGCCGTGCTGTTCAGCAAACATTTATGAAGGGCCTACTGTGTGCAATCACGGTACACTGAGAATATCCTTCACATGTGCCTGATAATAGGACGTACTGCAGATGACCAGGTTAAAATCTTATAGGCAAGAGCACGAATACATTTTTTTAAAATAATAATTTATGCTGGATTTTGGAATACAATTATATGGGGAACGGATTTACCCCCTAAATATCTATTATTAAAATTAGTTTGCACTTATCAGATGTTTAAGGCATGAGAAAAAAGAAACTCTAAAAAGCATGTTATGCTGCAGAAAGTCAATAAACAAAAAGGGATAAGGATGTGTTGAACACTGGGAATACTAAAAAAAGGAGAGAAAAAAACAGCCCCTGCCCTCAAGTAGCTCACAGTCTAATGGAAGCGGCAACAGGTAAATATATACAGACAATCTATATATACAGGATAAATAGGAAATAATTATCAGAGAGAAGGCACTAGAATGAAGAGAGATTGGGAACGACTTCCTGTAGAAAATGAAATTTTAGGTGTAATTTACAGAAAGCCAAGGGAGACAACAGGCTGAGATGAGGAAGAATAGTGCAGACTTGAGAGGCAAAGAAAATGGCCAGAGTTGAGAGGTAAGAGATGGAATATCTTGTTCCTGAAACAGTAAAAGTCAGTGTCACTGGATTGAAGAGTGTGTGGGAAAAGACTGGAAAAGTAAGAGAGGAGTAAGTTATGAAGGGCTTTGAATGACAAACAACATTTTCTGTTTGATAATTGAGCTCATAGGGAGCCACCCAAGTTTACTGAGTGAGGATGGAGGGAAGGTTACATTGTCGGGTTTTGGAAAATCACTTTGTTGGCTGAATGGAGGATGAACTGGAGTGGAGAGACAAGGCAGACAGTCCCATCAGCAGGCTAATACAATAGGATAGGCATGAGGTGATGAGGGCCTGAACTAGAGTTGAGGAATTTTCAGAGGAGAAAAGTAGGTGTATTCAAGAAATGTTACATGATAACTTTATTATGTATTTTAAAATAGAAAGTTGTACATAATAGATTTTCAGCTTCATGTGCAATCATCTTTTTTTTATTTTACTATGTTGTGGAAATGCTTGTGTTATTTCATAAATTAAAATTTTTTTAAAAAGCTGAGGTATAGAGATGTTACATGACTTTCTCAGGGTTACACTCTTGGTAACTGCTTTTTAAACCTAGATCTTTCTAACTGTGAGGCCAGTGCTCAAATTCACTACACCTGTGGTATCAAATTCAAGTAGAAATGAATCCTTGTTGGACTCATATTGATTTAGAAAACCACAAATTAACATTATTTATACTGTATTGTGTTTTTATTTAGTTAAACATTTCCCAATTACATTTTAATCTGGTTTCCACACTGGAGTCACTTGCTGCTGGAGATTTTTTGACACCCTCTGCACTATACAATGGTTATCACCCTGTTAATGATTTGGCCAAATTTAAAAGTAATGAAAGTTTTTTTTTTTTAAATCTTACAAGGTGAAATTGACAGGCCTTGGCAACAGATTGAATATTGGAGGTGGTGGGGGTGGTAAGAGATAGTGAGGAATTCAGAATGACACCTAGGTTGTAAACCTGAGGAACTGGAGGATAGTTATACCAGGGGTGGGGAATCTGCGACCTTGAGGCCAGATGTGACTTCAAGACTTCCAGTTCCCCACCTCTGGTATACCCTCAACAGTAATAGGGAAAGTAGGAAGGGGAGGGGAAAGTTTGGGGGAAAGACGAGTTTGATTTTGGATATGAAGATATGAAAATGTCTGCTGCATATCCAATTTGAGATATTAGAAAGGCACAGGTAGATGTGAGAGTGGAGGTCTGTTGAGAATTTGGGTCAGGAGAGGTAGATTTGAGAATCAGCAGCATAGAGATGGTAATTAAATTTATGGGAGTTAATGATATCACCAACTTAGGTAGTATAGAAGGAGAAGCAAATAGGACCCAGGATACAAACCTGTGAGACATCTGTGGTAAGAGGGTAAACTTTGGATGAGGAGTATTAGTTTAAAAAAGTTCTAGAGACATAATTCCTGGATAATTAATCATTTTATTAATAAGGCTAGCATGTCACTAATAAAAGAGGTCAGTATCACTCTTGAATGCCAAAGACCCTCATGGGGGTGGGCTCAAGACTTATGTGGCCTTGGAAAAGTGGATGTTCCAGAGGGTGGCAATCAACTCTAATTGGTTAACAAGTAATGAGAGAGAATGAATAAGTAATGAGAGAGAATGAATATTACTAAGAGGGGCTGGACCTATTCCAATGAACTTTGATTATTTCATATACTTCTAAATTATCCTCAGCCTTGGGCAATCTAATCAAAGAATTTATCCTTACCCAAACCTAAGTAGAACACAATGGGTTTAAATTCTTTGTAAAATTGGGTGGGGTCTGACCAAGATTGAACAAGAGAGTTAATTCAATCTCAGTATGAGTAATGTCCTTCAAGAGAATGAAGTGAGGACTACAGAAAAAGAGGAAACTCTAAATCTCCCCCAAACCATTGCTTATTAATAATCATTTCTTTCAGTAGCCAACAAAGGAGACTGTGAAGGAACAGTCAGGTAGGAGGAGGATCAGGAAAGAGTGGTGTTCTGAAAACCTAGAAAAAAGGGAGTATCTAGGAAAAGAGTATGATCAACAGTGTCAGAGGCTTTAGAGAGGTTGAAGAGAATGAGGGTTGAGAAAAGGCCATTGGATTTGGCAGTTTCTTTGGAAAGAGATATTTTGGTGAAATGATGACAGAAGTTGAATTTTAAAAGATTAAGAAGAGAATGAGAGGAAAGAAAGTAGAGATACCTATTATAGAAGGCATTTCTAAGGAATTTAACCACAAAGAAAATTGCAATTAAAGTACAATTAGTGATAATACCATAAATTGATAATTAACCTATAGACTACTGATTTATATGTGAGCCTAATATTCTTAATCTGAAGGGTTAAGCAGATGTCTGTAAAACACTCTCCTGCAGAATCAGGCTAGACTGACAAAAGAGACGGGTTGTTTTGTTTGTTTGTTTTAGGCAATTGAGGTTAAGTGACTTGCCCAGGGTCACACAGCTAGTGACAAGTATTTGGTCTGAGGTCTGATTTGAATTCAGGTCCTCCTGACTTCAGGGCCAGTGCTCTATCCACTGTGCCACCTAGCTGCCCCCCAAAAGAGAGCTTTGTCTCGATTTTTTTTTTAACTGGTTTTTGACTGGATTTTTCCATGGCTAAAATAAATGCATCTCTCATGAACCCTTTAACATGAGGAATGAAATATATTACCATTTGTAACCCACTTATACGAAATAAGTGTTGTTTACCTTAGAGTCAAGTCAGGATAAATAAATACATGAAAAACATTTATTAAGTGAATACTAAATGATTTAATACTTATTAAGGGAATACTTAATGATTCATTGAACTTTAGGGAAATAAATTGACCGACCCTTTCCAGAAATAAGGATAGGATGGTAGTATTGATTTGATTG